TGTGTACAATATACAACATTTAAATTAACTGTGACCTTCAATTGGATAAGTTGCCATTTGTCACTAATATCTATAGGGTGAGATATAGAATTACTCAACACTTGTTAATGCTCATGATCTATAGTTACCCATGACTTACCCATACAGAGCCAAAAGAACATTCATCCATCCATCCATCCGTCCGTCCGTCCATCCTTCCAGCTTCTAACTGCTTATTCTGGTCAAGGTCATGAGGTGAAACTATATCTTTTTTCTTGACCCGAATTCCTTGTTTTCAATCTAATCTGTCAGTATTCTTTATCTGTATCTCCCCTGGGACAATTGTGAATAACACTTGGATCAAAATGAAAGAATTTTTTTAAAAGCTTAAGACACTGTAAAGAGGTCACCTATGATGAGTCGTTAATTCTTCTAACTCTTCTGGCTTCTTAAATGGACCATCAGGGTTTATAAATAACCCACTCAAGACTCCAATGAGGAAACAAAACAGGCGGGTTATTATGAATATTTAAATGATTTAATACACAGAAGCATTTTTCAGATTCTCGTAATAACTAGCAGAGAATAAACAGTGCAGGGAAGGTCATTGACTGCAGTCATCTCTCCATAAAAATCCACACAAATGCAGAGTAACAAAGTGTGTCAGCGAGACAGTCCCACCCTGGGTGTTACCCATTCCCGAGGCGAGCTTCTGGGGAATGTCCTGAGATCATGAATTCAGAATAAACTTACATTCAAAGAGCTTCTATCCCAAGCTGTCCTCCAGGTTTACAAGCAGACCTAGAAAATAAAACCCCTCTGTACTGCCCGAGAACTGCAAAGCATCCTTAGGGATTTCTACATGAGCCAGTATGATGTTTATTTTGTTGCACTGCCTGTCAATGTGTGTTGTCTTCACTTGTCAACTGTATCACGTTTTTATATGGAGGAAGGTCTGGTGCCTGTGGTGTAAGGCAGGAAATAACCCAAGGTGGGATGCCAAGCTGTCACAGGGCCCACACACCATTCACACTATTTGGCAACTCCAATCCACTTCAGCATGTTTTTGGAAAAGCAGAGAGCCTGGAGGAAGCCTATTGGGGGGAGCATGCAAGCTACATGCAGAGACTCGAACCCTTATCCCTTGTGAGGCAACAGTACCACCTCGCCACACCCCTGCAACCATGCTTCAGCAGTTCACCTCAGGTATGGGGGATTTTTTTTTTTTAAATAACGAAAAGATCCTTCAGTTGGAATCTGGTTCACTTGTGCCTTAAATGGGTTATGGAGCAAATTGGGTTAGTGTGTCAGAGTTTACACAGTACGGATTGCACCAGAACAAATTGAGCTCTTCTAAAATCCTTCAGCAAAGACTGGATGCATCTTGTTTGCAATTTTTTTGCACGTTCTAGAAGTCAAAAGCAAAACCTTGGAATAGAATACAGAAACCTGGAGTGTTATTCACCTTTTCTTTGTTTTTTCTTACCCGTTTCCTTTCAATTCACACTGAAGTGTTTTTTACTCAGAGAAAAAAAACCGGTGTAATTCTTGCACAACAAAGGCTCATTAAATGAGACAAGCATCTCACCTCCTCCATGTTTTTTCCCCTTCATTTTTACTGATTTAACATCAGACATGATTGCGTTTGAATCAGACCAGGGACGATCCAATATCGATCCAATGTCATGTTTCATCCAGGTAATCCACACAATTAAAAAACATTTCTCTAAGTGATTATCTGTTGCCCTTAGTGTGCGAGTGTGTGAGTGACTTTAAAATAGAGCTCCATCCAGGCTAAGCTGCTGTTTCTCAGGATAGATGCTGGGTTACCCTAATTGGATAAGATAAGCTAAACTGATCCGGCACATCCCAATGCTTAACAGCTGTAACATTATTTATAAATATTTCAACAGTTCCACAGCTGTTTCCACATTACTTTCTTCCCTTTGGATGACCTTCTCCTGCTGCTATTGTGGATGAAAATGTTATAAACTTTGACAGAACATGGGGTATAAGGTTCTATAACTTGTGTGGCCCGTTTGCATATTTAAGTTGGAGGACAGGGACAAGCATGCAAGTAGATGTAGTTAATAAAACAACTGGATTTTTCAGCTGTATGAGGGTAGCTGGATTAGGTTCATTTTAGGCTTGTTGCAACGTTTAGCTTTATTTTATGCACATAAACTTAGGCAATGCGGTGTCTTAAGAAATGGGAAGTTGAAATCCAGAGCTTAACCTCTGATGTCCTCTGATGAGAGAAAGCTTCATCAGGGTGGTAGCACTCCATGCAGAGTGTCCCCGACTCGCAGACATGCTGATGTCAAAATAAGCATGAAATAAAGACAATAAGACTGAAGAATTTTTTTGTTGTTGTTAATGTTGTTTAATCTTGTGTAATAGTAAAACACAACATTTTTGAAAGAATTTGCTGCATATACTTTTGTACATAAAGATAAGTATTTAGGCTACTGTTAAGAAACTTCTTTAACACTGAAGTGTTCGTTAACTTCTTCAACACTGTATTTCAGCAAAGTGAGCTGATCTGCATTGAACTGACAAAGTACAAGTGTCAGGGATCCGGGCGGCTCAGACACGAGAACGTGGCATAGTGCACACAGACAAAGGCGGACGACCCACTTGCGGCTCAGAGACAGATGGGGATTTATTTAAACGAAACAGAAAACACTAGAAACGCAACAAAACCAAAAGGACCATGAGGGATCAAAAACTAAAAAGGGATTAACAAAGACTAAACAAAAACTGGGCAGGTAAACATAAGACAGATCTAACTTCAAAACCGTAAGACAATCAACAACAACAATCAACGAACCACTGGGGAACTGAACAGAAGCAGGAACTAAAATACTAAGGGGTAACGAGACTAACACAGGACAGGTGAGGCTAATTAACAAAGACCAGGGAAACGGGGCACAGGTGAAACGAATAAACTTAAAGGAACTAAAAGCAGGGAAACTAAGAACTAACCAAGGAATAAGGAACCAACACTGGGGAATTACAGACAGGTAAAGACAAGCAGGGCCACAAGGAACAAAACAAAAACCAACTACAAAATCAAACACAAGAAATAGAGAAACTCAAATGAAACACTAGGGATCAAAAATACAAAAACAGAGGCGGTGGGATTCAAACACAAGACAGAAGGGTACACAGACAACTGACTGCTCAATGTGTTGAGCCATGAGGCCAACAGAGAACAGAGGGGAAAACACAAAGACTAACATGAAGGACGGGATGACCAGCAACACCTGCTGGTCAAACGGGGAAGGGACACAGAGTGAGACAACAGGGGCTGACCCTGACAACAAGAATATATTTTGCAATACAACATTCATCATTGGCATTTAACAGCACAAATGCAGTAAGACTAAAAATGGATATTGACCAAATGTCTTATGCCTACAAAGACGCTGGGACAGAGCCAAGACTTATTACTAATGCAAACTTCAGTCTGAGGATAGCAGGAAAACCAGTTCTGAAACAAGCCTGTTGATTTGTTTGTGCACCTTGTGTACTTTTAACATTTCTTCCTAACAACAATAGGATCTTAGCATTTGTATCTAGTGGTGGTATCTTGCAGGCTATGGTTTTAAGGTGATAGTGGTTTTGTATGGCTGCTGGAGAGAGAATATCATCTCTATTACCTGGGATCAAGTGCATGAGTAGGAGAAGTCCGACTGCACCGTTTGCCGACACAAAGACATAGCCAGTGGCTCACTGGCCAGATGTTTTCCCTACACCACAGCAGCTTTTAAAGGGTATGGAATTGCAGGACCATTCTTGCTGAAGATATTGAAGAACTCAGTGACCTATTGCTCTGGTCGTCCAGCATGGCGTAGATTATTCTCCTTCACTGTGGTTGCCGACTGGATAAACATTCAAGAGGAATATTTTGGAATATGATTTGCCACTGAAGCCTCCTCCACACACTTTCATGCATTTAGATACAACAGCAGCCACTCTAGCTTTATCCGTGCCCCCGCCACGATCTGCCCGGGGAAGAGAGGATTTAGACGCCCATGGTGCTGGACTTGGGCGCAGAGCAGTTGGATGATGATCGCTATCGCATTCGCTGAATTTGACAGTCACCCCACAGCACCCAGCTACATGTCTGCTTGAAACACAGCATTTAGAACAGATATTGTGTGCCTTTAGTGTTCTTTTCAATTGATCCAGGGGCATTTCTCTGAAGCCGTTGCACTTTTGTAGTAAGTGCGGTTTACGGAGTACAGGGTAATGCTTGTCTGGGTCCTCAGCAGAGGAAGGGAAATTTGAGAAGGGGGAAATCTCAGCTTTATGTTCACTATGGCTTTTGGTAAACCTGTCCTTTCTATTTGTGGCATCCACCTGTACTGAAGCCTCTATGGAAGCTTTTCCACTATTGGGTTGACACCCCTTGCACTGTCCAAATATAATAGTCCTTGTAAATATTCTTCTTGTTTTGCAGATTCAATATCAGACAGTAAGTCACACAGCTCTCTGAGACTTTGGTCCTCTTTGGGTGCTATTTTGGGGAATTTATCAAGCTTTACATAAAGAGCACTTTCTTTTGCCACTGGTGACCCATACATCTCCTACAGCTTCTCCCAGATGGAATGTAAACCAGCAGACAGATTTCTCACACTTACTGAATTAATGCGGTGTGTGTGTGTGTGTGTGTGTGTGTGTGTGTTCAACAGACTTTGTTCCTATCCATTTCATTAATAGATCCATCTCTTCTGCTGCTCTAAGATCTAATTTCTCAAAGACATTAAGGAATGACGACTTTCAGGATAAATAATTCTCAGGCTTGTCATGAGCCTTGTCTCATGAGCCCTGATGACACCAGTCGATTTCATGTCAGATATTTTGTTAGATCGGATGTGGTTGTGTCACTGTGGTAGGGTGCAGCAGTGGGCAAGTGATTGCTAAGGTCGTGGGGCGGGGTCACATCATGATTTGATTGCCTGTTGAGGGGGCGGGGCTTACACTGCTGTTCTACTGATCTACTGGCACAAGCATTACTATCTGCAGGATGACTGGTAGATGGCCTTCTGGATCTGGGGGTTCATCCTCCTGCCCTTCTCCTATTGGTAAGTGAGGGGAATAGCTATGTAGCATGTGCTCATCCGTGAGGTATGTATGTTGAGTCTACTGCCACCGGAATGTGTGTCTATTCATGTATCTTCGGTGTGTTGCTGTGGACTTTGCATAGCTGATAGCTGTGATATGTGCTCATTTGTTGCCTGTTACCGGAAGTGATATCAGCTGGCTAGGTTTGCAACTGCAGCTTCTATTGCTGCTGCTTCTGCCAGAGAGGCCTCCACCCCTTTCTCTTTATAAAACACCACGTGTCGCATCCTGGCAGCCATTACTGTTTTTGCTTCAACCTGTGTCTTTGAAAAGGCAGGCCCAGCTCAGGTGGCTTCAGCCTCAGCATGCACTCTGCTGGCTGCCATAGTGACGCTTGGTATGGCGGAATGGCTGGTTCTAGATCAGGCTCCTAGGGCTGCATTATCCACCTGTAATGTGGATGTGTGGCACCTCAGCCCTTGCTTGTGATACCACAGCTGTTGTCTTGGCCTGAATGCTGTGTGAGACGGGGCAGCATGGGAATCAGGACCTGGGAAGGGGTCCATACTCAGTTATCCAGCAGGTGAAACACCTCCACACAATGGCTCCAGGACACACAGGGTAAGTCTGAGAGTGTTTATTGTGTAAATGGTGTGAAACTGAAAATGCAGATACACACACTGGTACAAGTACAAGGTAAAATGACTCTAACAAAATGCATTAGGTCATCCACATACATGTAGACGGATAAAAATTAGGATATGTATCAACTTGTATGTATAAACTTCAGGTAAGTATGGTAGGTGTAAACTTAAGCACAAGATCTCACCAGCTCTGTGCATCGATAAAAAGCTAAGTACAGAAAGGCAAGTATTTTAGCTACTATTAAAAAACTTTAACCTGTCTTTTAACAAGATAAACTGATATGCAGTCAAGTGAAGTGAAACAGTACAAGAATATATTAATAACATTAATCATTGGGGTTTAACAGCACAAAATGCAGTCAAATAAAATATGCATATTAACTGAACATTTTTATTTATAGGGAATATATTCAAAAAGAGAGAATTACAAAAGATTAACGCATGAACATTCCATTGTTGTCTTTCTACCAACAGAGTTTCTTAATCACTCACTTCCTGATCCTTGTTCCCTTATTCACTAGCTTCCTGATACACTTAAAGGGCCAGTAGATGTCTCCATAGAACATGTAAAAATAAATGGCAGGGCCAAAACAATGCATCTTATAAAACGTGCTTTGAAGTTATGATGCATTATTTCTTTGAATTAGATTGGATTGCATGTTCCCCCATTTTGTGATGGGGTTTCCAACCACAGTACAAAAAACTGGTCAATTGGAAATTGCCAGATTGTCCAGAGGTGTGAATGGTGAGTGTGCCATGTGATGGGTTGGTGCCCCATTGTGGGTTATTCCCTGCATTGTGCCCTTAACTTCTGTGATAGGCACTGTACCCCCTACATTCATCAGTGGGTTCAGAAAAAAAATCAGCCAGTTAAATTTTTTTTTGTTGCTTTAGAGCCTGAAATGAAAACAAAGAACAGAACTGAAGTTGTCAAGCTTCAGTGCAACTAATAATAATAATAATAATAATAAATAATAATAATAAATAACTAATAAATATTCAATGCAACTAATAATTTCCAAAGAGAAAAAATTGCATTAGTCCTGAAAAATAATCACGAATGGAAAAACAAGAATAACTGAGACTGACAAAGAATCAGCCCCCTTTACCAATACCTTGTGGAACCCTCTTAGGCTTTTTTTTTTACAGTCTTGAATGTCTGGATACTTTCCTACCAACTTAGCACACCAAGATTGAGCAGCATATCTTCCTTACAGAAACTGTTCCAAATCAGTCAGATTGGATGGTGTCCACTGGTGGGCTGACAAGTGCTCCAGTTCCTGCTGCAGAAAACCCCCCCACAGCAGGATGCTGCACTCACCCTGCTTTACCATAGGCATAGTGTTCTTTGGACACTGACCTGTATTGTCTTTCCGCTAGATGTTCCATTTGGCACAGAGGCCAAAGAGTTCGGTTTTGGTCTCATCTGACCGTAGCACCTTTTTCCACTTGGTCTCAGAATCATCTAGTTGTGTTTTGGCAAAGCTTAAACCAGACGTAATGTGGCTTTTCTGGAAGAGTGGCTTTTTTGAAACATTCCCATACAAGTAAGATTTGTGATATTGTTGTCACATGCATATAATGGCCACTCTTTGCAATAATGTCCTGCAACTTCTTCAGGGTTGCCAGTGGCCATAAATCTAGGGTGACCAGATAATCCATGTCATGGAGAACACTTTGAGCTATGACAGGATTTGTAAACTACTATTTCAATATAAAGGACCCGGATTTCACTTAAGCACCAAGTTGCTGTGTGCTGATTGGTCAGTCTCCTATAATCATGCGTGTCACTAATGTTAAGGTGGATTTGTCAAATCAAGCAAACAAACCAGTCAAAGCACATGAAGAACTGAACTAATTAGACAAGCACAGGAGCCTTTCAGTTTTGAAGTAGATTGTAAATAGAATTGAGTTCATAGTAACTAGTTCTTTTAAGTGACCCAGTGTTAGGCAGGGAGGCACCATTCATCTTTTTGACAGGATGATTCTGTTTTATACCCACTGCACATTGAAGTGAAATATGGTTCGTGTTGGTCATAGTGCAAATGAGAATAAATAGAATGTATATACTGAAACATATAAACATTATATAAACATGACATTTTAGGAAATAGACAAAGACATGCAGTTAACCACTTGACTGGTGGGGAAAGATTATGAAAATCCGGTACAGATATTTGGCATGGAAGCAGAATGTGCAAAAAATAAATAGAATTGTGAGTTCATAGTTACTAGTTCTTTTAAGTGACCCAGTGTTAGGCAGGGAGGCACCATTCAAGCCTCATTGTGTCCCGGATTTGAGGCTGCAGATCCTCCCACCAGACGGCAGTGGAGCAAAGAGGTCATAGGAGGGCTGCCATGGCTCCCTGATGATGCCAGCAGGCCTCTGGATGCAGCAACAGCCATCGTGAACGTCCAGCAGGGAAGGCAGAACACTCCTGCCGACCTTCTCCCGGGCTATGAAGCCGTTTGTAAGTAGACCATAGCAAGCAAGTAATAACTTTGTACAGTTCCCTTCTGATACTTTCATGACTATCCAAGTCTTGATTTATTATTCAAGTTAAATATTCCCATTTTGTTATTTATTCCTGTGTCCTTGACCAGGATAAACAGTTAGAAGATAAATAAGTATTTCATTTATTTACATATTCAGGTTTTGCAAACATTTAAATAAAACACCTAAGCTATAGCTCTGAAATATGGTTATCTTTGTATTTCATAATTACTTCAATAAAATGGCTCAAGTAACATCATAGGGTTTTTAAAAGTTTTCTATTATTACAGAGAAAAGCTTCAGGGAAAAACTGTACTAAAGCACTGTGACTCCTATTATTCTGCTAAGAAAGACATTGTTCTTTAAAACTTGGAATGAGTATATAGTGTAACAACAATGTTTTTAATAATACCTAAAATCTGTACACATTCAAAGATATAAAGCAATTTCTCACTGTCTGTTATACAGAAGTATATCATTCAGTTCCTGTATATCTTCATAAATGCTATGGGTACGATCTCCCAGGTATCTGTCAATTTACATTGGCTGTAGGTCTTCCATAATGCATCCTTATAACGGTTTGGTCTGACATGGAGAGCAATTTAAAATATCATTTATGGTTATTCATTAAGTCAACACCACTTTACAGACACACTCAATTACAGGCATTGCAGGTTTAACGTTGTGCGTCTGTATCTTTCATTATCTTGCCAGCAGTAAAGGTTCATTGCGGAGTCCTTCTGAAGTTTAGCACAGTGAATGTTTCCTGAAGTTTTCTCTGTGTTCAGAGAACCCGGTAAAGATGGATCTGTTTGAGAGTGTCAGGGTCACTGTCCATCCCAAGGTAGACATCATAATTTAATGGCAACTCCTCCACCCAAGGGCTTATGTCTAAGCCATCCTACAGGACAACACAGGAAATGTGTTGCAATTAACCAAAAGCTTCATGAGTTATTTTCATTTTGCAACCAGTCACAAGTAAGAAGCTGAATACAGTAATAAATGGGGAACACTAGTTATTTGGGGAAGATACTGATTGCTGTCACCCTGAACAGAAAAAAATAGTCTTCGGTACATCTCTCATAATGCTCTTTCATAATGCAGCAAGTGGTAAGTATTGCATTAGCTAACCCACCAAGCTTTCACAATCTGCCAAACAAACTGACCACCAATATTAACATCCCAGTTCACTTAATATGGCATTTTTCTTAACATGATGGCTGTACAAGCTGGTAGAAGCAAGTGGCACACTTACGCCGCTCGGTTGGAGAGCAGAGAGCGCCTCTTGCATACTGGGAACAGTAACTAGTAGCGCCCCTTTCTTTCTGACATTCTGCTGGATGCACAGCCATGCTCTGAAACAAGACAAGACAGGAAAGAGCAGACGAGGTTTAACTTTATGTTTAGCATTTCATGGATTTGGAAATGAGCTGCTTTTTAAAAACCTGGAGTGTAATCTTTTTGTTTCTGTGACAGTCAAATTTCAGTGATGATCATATTGTGAGTGGGGCATCGGTGTGGAAATGGGGTAACCTCTGAGCCACTTGCGGAGCTTGAACGAGATGACAAAATACCTCGTCCTCCACTGGGAAAGGGCTGATCGTGCAATGCAATCATCTCCGTTGTTTCATTATGTTTTTAGCTCTGGTGCTGCTAACTTTGAACACTCATTAAGTTTAAATATTGGCCAAGATTGACACTTTGAACTGATGCCAATATCTTGATTTTTAACAAATCTCGGTAGATACTGATATGTAAACCAATATATCACACGTCTCTACATATTGTTTGTTCCATAAAGACAATATGTAATGCAGAATTGTAATGACAACAACAACAACAATAAACAGAGAAATATGTTACTCAAGAATTATGAGAAAAACCATCATCTTAGTTCTTGTTTTGCAGATTGGGGAAAAAAAAATCACAGTTCATATATTATCCAGAATCATGCAGCCCTACTAAGGACTATAACTTAATTTGTCCATCCCCCTACTGTTCATAATACATGGGAGATAATGATATTCTTGCAATAGATGCTCCCTGGGTTACGATGGTCCATGTTATGATATTTTGACTTTACGATGGGTAGATGTTTTTCATTTTCAGTACATTATTCAATAAATTACATGAGATATTCAACAGTTTTTTATAAATTATGCTTTGTGTTAATGATTTTACCCAACTGCAGGCTAATGTACATGTTCTAAACTTGTTTAAGGTAGGCTAGGCTATGATGTTTGTTAGGTTAGGTGTACTGTATTAAAATGCATTCTCACCTTATGATATTTTCGCCTTATGATAGGTTTGTCGGAACATAACCCCATTGTAATCCAGGGAGAGGCTGTACAGGTAAAACAGTTTGTTTATTCTCTTTTTCTCTCAGTTTTACATACTACTGTGATATGCTTATTTTTACAAGTATTTATTACATTTCTGAAAAGCATACAGGCTAAATTATCAGGGTTACTACCACACATCTGGTGTGACACTCATACTTTCTGACTCACACTCACGCAAGAAATCTTACGGCAAGTTTATATTATTCCATTATAAACCTAAAATTAGCTGCATCAAAGGCGTTTGGGTAGTTTGCAAACCCTACAGACTATTTACAAGTTAATAAAACTTTTACATACATGTAAATGTGTCTGCATACAAATTGAAAATCTCACGCCAGCCAGTTGGCCAAAATTGGTAACACTATATTATACAAATTAAGCTATCAAGCCTATCATCCCCTGTGTCTGGGACAGACTCCCTCATCCATTGGATAAGTGTTAGGATAGCAGATAGATGGATGGATGGATGATAATGAGTATATAGCTGAAACTTGGGTATAATGGAGTATAACTGTTGTGTATTATTTTGAGTAGTGTTATTCAGTATAAACTACAGTACTAGTAATATTTTACAAATCATAGATTAGGTGTCGAAATGGACAATTATGTTGACCATAAAACTTGTATTAACAAACATCTCTTATGAAAAGCAAGCAAAACAAAAAAAGGTTAACAATGCTATTGACAAGAACCAAATATTTGTGCTTTTTCCCCCATACCTTATTTGGCTGTCTTGATCAAGAAAGTACTCAAACACATTGTTCAAAACAACAACGTCAGCACTCTGAAGAAGGCCGGGTTGAGTACAGATATCTGCATGTACAATCTCAGGAGAAAGTCAGAAGACAGAGCAGAAAGTTACACGTCTTGCAAGTAAAAATCAAAAGGCTAAAGATTACAAACATTGGTCAATATGCAAAAGAAATCTTACCTCAATTCGGTCAGCGAAGTCATACTTCTGTACTACCATCTTCTGAAGACCAATAAACTCTGAACTGATCTCCACGCCAACCAGTCTAGCTAGTGAACTGTACAGGTACCCCTAGGGAAGCCACGCTTCATATATTAGTGCCAGTCAGGACAGGACAACAACTACAAGTTATACAAATCACATTTTGGCACTTGGTACCAGTAACTATCATGTTACTGAAAGAGCCTCACAAAAGAGTTTCCTAGACAGAGATCAGACTGTCAGAAAGAGCGCTTCAGGAACAGGAGTGAGAACTACTGGTCTATTATCACACTGTTCTGCCAATCTGCATACACAAGCTGCAGTTGGACCATTAATTGCTATAATGCAATCAGAATGTATTTCACACAGGATACCAAGGCATTCCCCAAAATCTTTACAAAGCTGGTACTAATAACAGTAACTTACAACCTGACCTCATAAATTCATAATCAGGATGACTTCTATATATTCAAATATATGAGGATTGTAAGGCTGGAAACATTTTTTGGAGGTTCATGGATTTCACTCACTTGACAAAATTTTAAAACTTGTGAATTTAAGATATTTACAAATGTACCTAAGCCTTACCTTTGTGTGGAAAGTAAACAATTTTGTTTTGAAGTGCCAGAAGATAATCTATAGTTAACCATCAAATCAGGCAGCAAAGTCTCAAATTTTGTATTTCAATAACACCAAAAAAAAGACATAAGTTTACAAACGAGAGGAGGCCATTCGGCCCATCAAGTTTGTTTGGAGAGAACTCAACTAATAGCTCAGAGTAGAGGTTTGCACGGGAATGATCACTTTCATCCCGCTTCCGCAAGTTTCTGTCCCGCTCCTGGAGAAATGTGTAATATTGCCACCCGCTCCCGCCTGCATCTGTTAGGGTTTGTCCCGCTCCCGCCTGCTGAATCCCGCAAGCAAGGCTGGTGGAGTGTAGGGTGGGCCAAAAATTTTAAATGCTATAATATCTTGGCTTATAAAAATTAAATAAGGTACCAAATGTATTTGTTGCCTAACTGACATACAGGAATTTATGAAACATAGGCTACATTATGTGGACATGACTCCGGCTGCGAATTAAAGATGTGTTTTACATAAGGGTATATTCGGCTAACTAGTTTTCCATAAAAAAATACAACCAACAATGTTTCTAACTAGGCTACAGACCTGAATTAAAAATATCTAAACAGTCTCAATAGAAACATTTCACAGTCAAAATGAGAGAAATATAGGGTAACATTTAAATTTTTGGCGCGGCTCTGCGTTTATTCCAACCTCAGTCAGTGCACTCATTGCTCTTCCATTCCCGCAAGAAACACTGAAATGTAGACCCGCACTGCATGCTTCTGTGCTGCGTCCCGCGAGTCCCGCGGGTGTCCCGCCCTGTTGCAGACCTCTAGCTCAGAGTTGTTAAAATCTTATCTAGCTTAGATTTAAAATAACTCAAGGATTTAGCTTGCACTACACTAACAGGAAGACTATTCCATTCTCTAACTACACTGTGTAAAGAACTGCTTTCTCAAATCCATTTTAAAATGTTCTCAGGACTGCTAATTTCCACCTATGGCCACGAGTTCTAGTATTTAAACTAATATTGAAGTATCTATTTGGCTGAACAGCATCCAGACCTGTTAGAATCTTATATACCTGGATCATGTCCCCCCTTAGTCTCCTTTGCTAGAGGCTGAACAGACTTAGCTCAGCTAACCACTCCTCATAAGCCCTACGTTAAAACCTTTCCAAGGGAACCTTAAAAATATGTTTAAAGACAGTCGTACCGCATAGAGCACTGCCCCAAGCCGGGAGCCAACATCGACCAACATCAGTCCAGTTAGGTCTGGGAGAACATGATGGAACAGAAAACGTAGCTCCATGATAGAAAAAGAGTGCGAGATGAACTCTGGGGACAGGACAAGGTAAAAGGCATAAAGTCAGTTACTGTTTCACTGAGACATACATGCATATGTGAGGTGATCTCCCTGTCCTGCATGGTTAAAAGCATACAGTTATCTGACAGAATATTCATTAGATTGTCAGTTTTTTGCTCCAGTTACTAGCTTATTATTGCGAAAAACATAATAATTTACTATTACTAAAATAATGAGGTGTAATTTGTTATCGCTATTGGAAAGGTAAAGTCTAGCAGCTGTATTTTTGTACTTTGGCTTAGCTACCTACCGAGAGGAGCTGTTCTTTGGGAGCCACAATGCAAGCAGTAGTTACGACTCAGCTTTCCCTCCTCGCAGAGGGCATCCACCGCTTCCTCGTCATACAGGAAGGCATCGACGTGAGTCCGCGAAGACTGTCGGATCTGAAATTTTTTAACTTTGCTGACTCCTATTTTTAGACTCCTATTTTTAATTATGTAGGCAATAGATTTGCTGCTGTGTGCTATAGTGTCAAACTACACATCGTGTCTGAAAGTCATGTCCTCATGCAAAATAATTTCAAATTAGAAGAATGGGAACCTGCCTTCTGAAGAGCGAGGGACTCCGAGGAAAATGTGGCTTCTGGTGGCACGCTGGTCCTGAGATCTTCTGCGATGCTCTGGAGTACAACTTTCTCATTGTCGATGAAGTAATTGTCCAGTTCATCTGAAAGTAAATGTACAGTATTAGGTCAATAAAGACCGCGGTTCAATAAAGTCCTTTTTCTAATAACTACTTATCTAATGCAGGGTGCTGCCAAGTCTGGGGCATATGCCACCAAGCCCAGAGCCGTGTGCACACACAGACACTCAAATACTGTACCACCCCAACTAACTCTTTGGACTGCTGCAAGAGATCAGTGAAGCAAGACAGAGCAAACAAGCAAACTGTATAGTCAGCCCTCGTAAATTCGCGCTTCGTGATTCGCGAATTCATAGATCCGCGAAACTTTCATTCTACTGTTTTTTATAAGATACTTTTAACGTGTGTATGTATTTTTGTAGTTAGCGCACACATAGTATTTTTACAGCCTATTATTTCTGTACATCTTACGTTTCCTTTACGTATTTCATTGAATTGTACCTTGCTTACGTATATGACTTCTGTCAATAAGTTTACAGTCTCGTTTGTTTACTCATTTTACCTTACTGTGAATGCAAAAGAAAACGGCAGCCAATGCCGTGTTCTATCAATTAGTAGGGGTAACATTAGTATACTGCACTGTAAATGTGCTAGGGTGACAAAGATCCGTTACTCCATTTTTACATCAACATTTGTTTTATAAAAGGTAATGCATTAAGCTAACTTTTAAATGAAATTAAAGTGTTTCGGGAGCATGACTCGGGTCATATTTAGGCTTTAAACTGTAGAAATAAGCACATATTACCATTTTTAGTGACTCTACCAAACATCCGCGAATCCTCATTCGCGACGGGTCCTGGATCCTCACCTCGCGAATCTCCGAGGTCTGACTGTACACAGACCCATAAACTAGAGGTGTGACACTCTCCTCCGAGTCTATATAGTCAATAAATTATTCAGAGATTAAGTAACTGATTGATTAAAATATGTAATTTGAAAACCCAGCTACAGATAGCCAAAGAAGTGTTGATATTAAATTTAATCCTTGTATCTGTATTTTCAGTTTAGCACAGCAAGTTATGTTACAATTAAGTAGCACCTTGATATTTGACTTTCGTGATTGTAAAAAAACTCATAACGGCCCAGATTTAATACCTAAAATGACTCTAGAACTTTATAAACGTTTCTTTTATACGTACCAGACTGGTTAGCTAATAGCATAAACAATTCATGGTGTAGATGTATGAATGAGATATAGATACACGCAGTTCATTCTGCAAGATGCTGCACATTGCATTCTAACAAGTTTACTTGATTACCTGAGTTTTTCATCCACTCAACCAGTTTAGGAAGCTCGCGAGGATCTACTCGAGACAACAGGTGCATAATTTCATTTTTTGCTGCCGATAAATCCATTTTAAATAACTGTTATGTTGGAAAACAAACGCAATGCATGGGCTAAAAACATCGAACACGTTTTTGCTAAGAATAAACGAAAATCCAGTTTGCTGTGGTCCCTGTTTTTAAGGAGGAACTTAAATCTTAAATCAAGTACATATTGAAAATTCTCCGACGGAAAACCGATTTACAGCGGAACAAATAAATATATAGTATTACTATTTAATGTTTTGATAAAAAAATTAATCTCGCTAAAACAGATTATGTGGCTAATTACAGTAATTTACACAATACATCCTTAAGAGAAGATGGGGGAGCTCTAATTTGAATAAGGGGCGGGGCCAGTCGACGAGAAGACGGTTTTGTTTTTGTTATACTTTAACCCGGAAGTAGAAATTTGCCCCGGAACGTTTCAGGCTCACTTTCGATGACGTCTGCTAATGGTCCATATCTGTGTGTCAGCTGGCTAGCGGAAAGTACAGGTTGTTTTTTTTTTGTGGTTTACATACAGCTTTCAGAAATATTCCTTATTTAGCCGTTAGTCGTATGAGGATGATTGACGAGCCATTTTCTGTGTTTTGAAAATAATCTACGTTCTTTGGATATTAGGGCCTTGGATAGGTAGCTGGCTTTCGGGGTCTTGGTCAACGCATCGACATTTGTCTTGTTGACTTTTATCATAGCTAAATCTCGCGTCGATGGCTTCAGTATAAGTCCTGCGTATAGATAAGTTAACAGTCCGCGAGGGGTACATGTATCTAATCATTTATTAAGCTTTAGTAACGTGTTACTGATTTTTTTTCCTCATTTTCCCATGTAGGTTTCAGGTTGGTGGACGTCACTGTTGTAGATAGTTAAGTTTTCTGCTTCTGAAATCTCCTCGCAACTGTACCCTGTATGGCCTGATACAGGAGATTTCATCTGAATTTGAAACGTAGCCGAAAAGGTCTTCTTTTACGTACACTAATTCTTTACAATTTATAGGTAGGTGAAATAGTATTGCGGTCGTAACCATACGCAGGAGTTTTATCTTTAACTTTTTTGTAGTTCTAGGTAATGGTAATCGATTAACTTGTGTTGTTTTAGTTACAGGTGCTACCAAGGTAGTTAAAATGGTTTTGGCCGATTTGGGAAGGAAAATAACTTTGGCGTTGCGCTCACTGAGCAACGCCACTATCATAAATGAAGAGGTAGGTAAATGTTTTTTTTTTTTTGAGTGAGGAGTCCTTGGTGTTATAGAAAAATAATGTCAGAAATATATTTCGCACCCAGTTAAGATAGTGGAAAGAAAATGTTGGGGTTAAGTGCAATATCGTTATTTCTTCTGCTGGATTTATGACGTCGCACATAAACTTGATCATGCAAACTAAGAAAACACTGCATGCAAATAGTCATTCAGCTGCTCCGAATTAGCAATTGATATGTTTTTAAAACTGATACCAAAGGTGTATATGTGAATCTTTTATTAAATATTGGAATATTTGCTGTTTACCAAGATTGAATATTTAAACGAATTTGTGTTTTAATGGTAGTAAAATTTTACTGCGACCATGGGAAGTTCCCAGTGTAATCTGTAGCATCTGTCACAGGTTTTAAATGCTATGCTGAAAGAGGTGTGTGCTGCCCTTCTGGAAGCTGATGTTAACATCAAACTGGTAAAGCAGCTCAGGGAAAATGTCAAGTAAGTGCATTTTTATGTTACTGGTTTATAATTTTGATTTCTGTATTGCAGTTTGCATTGTAGCACTTTGGTTCCAAGCACTTTTGAGTCATGGTGTCTGTCTAGACCAAAGGTCGGCAACCTTTTTAAAGCAAAGAGCCATTTTCTCCTAAATGTCTGACCCAAGATTTACAAAGAGCCACAATGGGTAAAGAAGGGGGTTTGACATACGATTTTTTAATGTGATATGTGTATATATGCATTTAATACAAAAATCAAAGTTCAAATAGTTAAAAAAAAAAAAACAATTTTCGGGGTGCATCTCAGGTTGAAATCCATTTGAATCATTTAAATGCGTAACAGCTCATAGGTGACTAACAATACTACACTGATTAGTTCTGTAGCGATAGTCTTCACCCTCATCCCTTCTTTCGTTTGGCTCTGTCGTCTGCTCTTCGCTCTCCACTTCAGTACTGTAACTATGCTGACCGAGCAGTGCAAAATGTACTCACCACTCTGAACTCTGGCTATAATATGTAAACCAGAGAAAATATAAGAATTTTTACGAAAACCTGGGATGGCGTGGTGACGATTTACTACAAAAAGTATATGAAAGAATTAGGAATTCCAATAAACGTTGAAGCATACATCCAATCTCAGGTGCTTAAGAGAACTCCGGAAAGCATGCCATTTAACCAGAGACGTAATCTCGTTTTAGCAAATGACTTTGAGGAAGATGTAAATTATGCAGTTAAGACGTAACAGAAGCACGCGACGGACTGCCTAATTCACATATACTTAAAGAAATATGTAAACGAAAAATATTAACCCATAAATAAATTATGTTTACGAAAGTATCATAATATGTTAAGACATGAAAATGTGAATTCGCCTATCATCATGAGAAGAGCCGCCACACGTGTCTCGCAAGCCGCCGGTTGCCGACCCCTGGCCTAGACAGTAACTCTGTTTGACCACGATGGACTTTTTCTGCAATTCGAGATGCTTTCCACATGAAAGGTTCTGAGTGTCTCTCTCATCCCTGCAATATAACGTTGTTTCCCAGGGCAGCCATTGACCTGGAGGAGATGGCCTCCGGTTTGAACAAGAGGCGGATGATTCAGCATGCAGTTTTCAAAGAGCTTGTCAAGGTTTGTGTCAAAAATGCCGAAACCTGTTTTCTTATAGCAAGTCTAGTTCATATATACATTTAGTTGACCATAATGAAGATACTCAAATTGGCTCTGTTTGGTCTTGTTTTGGTTTTGAAAATACATTTAACTTGTATGTCTGTTCTATTTGATTTGCATTGAAAGATTTTGCGGTATCAAAGGAAAGCGGTGCAGCATTTTGTATGTACAGTTAAAATGTGGCGCTGAATGAATGTGCATGTTTATCCTCTTTACTACTGTTAACTGTTTTTTTAAAAGTATAATGACAGGGGTGGTCAATATTTTCAGACTTGATCACGATCCACTATCTTATCATGGTTCTTTTTCATGTTAATTTTTAAGACTACAAGTTACTTAGCAGTGCAACCAAACTAATTACCCTATTAAAAAAATATAGCACTACAAAGTAATAAAACCTAAAAGAAACATACATACTCAGCATATTCTTTTTTGAATGCTTGAAAAGTTCTGTAGTGCTACCGTCCAGTGTGCAACCTTTACAAATGTTGCAAATAACTGTGTCAGATTAGGAAAATCCAAACTAGTTCCATATTATCAATGTCAAATTAATTTTATGGACCAGCTCCTTCACATTGTCCATGCAGCTACGTTGGCAAATAGGGATTGTGTTGCATGTTGCGCATTGCATGTTAGGATGAGGGCACAAAAGGATGAGAGGAAGTAGTCCCAGGCCCTACCTTCTGTTGCCGTTACCAGTTTACTGGTGTGTTGAGACAAATTGAACTGACATGCAGTAGAACTGTAACTGATAATGTGCCCTGTAGAATGATCTCTGTGTAATGGAACATTGTGGAGGCATTTTAATCCGTCAAGATAAGGGTTGTAAAGGGGCAGTAAATTTCCAGAAACTTTCCATTCCATGGGAAGTTAAGCTTGGGAATTTTAGAAATATTTCAAGTTGGAAATGTTCCATGGGAATTATCAGGAATACATGGGAATTATCAGGAATACATGGGAATTATCAGGAATACATGGGAATTATCAGGAATACATGGGAATTAACAGGAATACATGGGAATTAACAGTAAATTCCTAGAATTTTTATTCATGACCTAATATCGTCAAATTACACATCCCTAATGACAGTGATTAAAAGATCATTAAATAATGACTGTTTGTCCTCCTAGCTGGTGGACCCAGGAGTCAAGGCATGGACTCCAACAAAAGGGAAAAATAACGTCATCATGTTTGTGGGACTTCAAGGCAGCGGGAAAACCACCACATGCTCAAAGGTACACTTGTGTCTTTGAGCCGTGATACGGACAGTGCAGGGCATGTGATTAGACTGAGCCCCCAAAGATAATGGCGTCCGTTTTGTACGAAAACCCGAAAGTGTGCTCGTAGTTTTGAATTAAGAAATAAAAAATCAAATGTATAAATTTCTTTAGAATTTAGTGTGAATCGTGGCTGGGGGGGATAGCACATTAGGTAGATGACAAAATTCCCATTCGACTAATATGTATTTATATATGTATATATTCATGTAATTTCTGTAGCTGGCCTACTACTACCAAAGAAAAGGTTGGAAGACCTGTTTGATATGTGCTGATACATTCAGAGCTGGTAATGTCATTTGGCGCCGTCATCTTTCGTACATTTACTTTATTTGGCGAAACAGACAAAGGCAGACCTAATTCTGTTCTTTTTTTCTCCCTTTTTAAGGTGCTTTTGATCAACTGAAGCAAAATGCTACCAAAGCCAGAATTCCTTTCTATGGAAGGTTTGTCATGAACAAAATTCATTGCACAGGTCTTCCCGGGGAGTGATGCTGCATTTTATGGCAAAATGTTTGTTTATGCAAGACATTGTCAAATTTGTAATCTGCTGACGTAACGGAAAGGTTTGGGGAAATGTGCAACCGAAATAAAACATTTAGCCTGAAGTAGAATTTTTAACAATTATTCTTTATCAGAATTCTTTGGATTTTTATTTTATGCAAAAATCCATGTTTTATGCCTATCTGGGAGCCATTGACTTTTGAATAATGTAGTTAACACAACCATCAACTCTAAAATTACTTTAACTAAGTTACTCCATTTTTTTGTCTCTTTTCCCTAGTTATACTGAAATGGACCCTGTTGTCATTGCTGCTGAGGGTGTTGAAAAATTCAAGACAGAGAACTTTGAAATAATTATTGTGGACACGAGCGGTCGACACAAACAGGAGGATTCTCTCTTTGAGGAGATGCTTCAGGTTTCCAATGCAGTGGTGAGTAAAAAATCATGTCAGATGGTAAAGTTAGTCTAATGATTAAAATGGCTGAATTACAATGAGAATGCATGTTCTACTTCAAAACTATTGAAGAGCACATGGTCATGGTATATTCTGCGTTCTATATATGTATCTGCATAAAGTTGCACTCAGATTTATTCAACCTCCCTTAGACTGCAAGGATTTACATATTTAAACCACATGCTTTAAAAATTACATATGTATTAGCTAAGTGAAATTCAAATGAATAATGTATATTTCTGAGTAACATTGTACATTTGTAATACAACCATAGGATAATTCAGCCTGTGTTCAGTTCTGCTTTTTTGAATTACTTAATAGACTCTTAGTCTACAAACTATGTATTTGGGAATGTGGTGCTGGTATATGATTGACTACATCTGTGTTGCATACACAAATCCCACCTATGCATGTATACAAGCTGAGCTGCAAAATGGCTCTCTCAAAAAAGCACTCCCACAAGTGGAGAGAAGAAATAATTACATTACACAAGAAAAGGCTGAGGATCCTATAAGATTTCTAAGACATAAAGTTCCAAGAGACACAGCTGGCAACATCAGACGCAAGTTCTCAACTTGCAGCAATGTTATCTGTGTGTGTAAGAACAGAATTGCTGTGATAAATCCCTGTAGGACCCATAGGACGACCTGATGAAAACAGGAACAACTTTTTTTTGGTGAAAATCTAAGAACATTAAACAAATAAGGGCATGATGGCCGCACAGCTCACTGCATTAGACTCTAGAACAGTGTTTACCACTGCACACTGGATTGATCCACATTACACCTGACCCAAGCAATCAGGAGCTCCAAATACCTTACAGGTGTGCTGGGAACTGGGATAAAGCAAAAATGTGGATCCGTCCAATGTGCCCTGAGGACTAGTTTGGGAAACACTGCTCTAGACTGGGAAGCAAAGAAGTCAGCTTGAGTATGGTAGAAGGAATGTGGACAAGCCTATGAAGTGACTTGACTGGATCTATGGAGCAGCGGTATGTCTGGCATAAGGAAGGAAATGCTTATGACAAGACGACCAGCCCCCCACGAGTAAACCATGAAGGTGGCTCAGTCCTTTTCTGGAGTTCTCCTTCAGGGACTAGCAGGTTTTACTCTCCTACTGGCATCATGGATTCTTTGTAATATCAGGATGTTCTGCCAAAGAATGTGATGCCTTCAGTTAGGGCTGGGCGATAAAACGACAGCAAAAATGATCGCATTATGGTTTCTCCTCGATATCAATCTGGCAAATATTCAAAAGTTCAATATGATTTAAGACCTGGTGACACGTTTTGCCTCGCTATGAAATGACTTCACTTCCTCTATGACTGTTTATCTGGACCACCATGGAGCACATGAGCAGACACAGACTCACACAGCCAATAAAATCACAACGAGGATTATTGAACAAAAAATGAAAATGTAATATGGCAGGAAGGAAGACGAAAGAACACAATCAAAACAGGCCGACTCACCGGGAGTGCAGGTAAGTCCAAGCAAACCACCCAATAAGTGGAATCCAAAATGAAAGTGTACAGTAAAATTCAGCCTGGTACAAATCCACACAGAGATACTCCACAGAGAATGCTAGCAGCGGTGATTTTCACTGAAATAACCTGACCTGTCTCCATTTACCTATGCACAACAGACGCACAGCAAGGTTTGACTTAACACTCCACATACTGCTATTCAAGCAATACTCAAGTAATGGGAGAGAGAAACTGGAGCACTTGCAGTCCATTCAATTTGTCATCCTATTCAAATTCTGTTTAAGGGGAATCTCTTTAAGAGGAATCCTAAGGGAATTTTAAGCATGAACAAAGCCTCAAAGTAAAGGAATTATTATTGAAAATAACTCAGTTATGTCGTTATAATTATCGATATCAACTGATATGAAGTTTTTTTTTTTTTAAACACGATAATGTTTTTGGCCATATCGCCCAGCCCTGCCTTCAGTACATAAATTGAATCCTGGTGATAACTGGACTTTCCACAAGATGATGATCCAGCACATAATTCCAAGTTGGCCACCGCTTGATCATGGTCCTTGAGTGGCCATCTATGTCCCCCAGTTTAATTCCCAGTGAAGATATTTGCAAGCTGAAAGCATTCGCACAGTGGTCTCAGAAGCTTGTGAGCACATACAGCAGTCATATCATGGAGGTCGTTAAGGGTAATGGATGCTCGACAAAATACTGACACATCACCAGTCTGTCTTGCAGTTATGACGGTTGAATAATTTTTGTATGGGTGTTTGTGTATATCAAACTTACAGCACGACTGACAATCATATATATTATTCAACCGTTTAATAGATTACCTTTTTTAATTTGGCTCTGCCTGAATGATTCTGAGTTGGTCTTCATTTAGGTGTGTGAATCCAGTATTAAATATCTGTCAGGGTTCACTTCCAAAGATAACCAGAAAGTATGATATTTGTTGTCAGTTCACAGCTGCCTTAGTTATTTCAGTCACCTAATATTTGGCTTTTCTTCTTCAAAAGCAACCCGACAACATTGTATACGTCATGGATGCCTCTATTGGCCAGGCTTGCGAAGCCCAAGCAAAGGCCTTCAAAGACAAAGTCGATGTGGCGTCTGTGATTGTGACTAAGCTGGATGGGCATGCCAAAGGTGGCGGTGCTCTTAGTGCGTAAGTAACGTGTGCTCACACTCGTGCTTTGGGAGTTCGTGCTAGGTACCCAGTCACTGCACTCCTGCACCACGCCACACTGAGCATGTATCGGTACATTATGTAATTAATGTCTATTTGTGTTTGATAAAGTGCAGCAAGAAAATAGGGCTGGGTGATATCATATCGATATTATATCACGCATGTGCAATAATCACCAGGGCTTCAGATGACAGGCGAAACATTTGTCCACACATCAGCTTTTTGGTACGATATGGACATTTATTTACGCCTATAATTTGGTAAGCAAATTAGTGGTATGGGTAAAATATTAATGAGATGCATTTTGAGACACTCAAAAGTTGGTAATCTGTATAAACTTGCCGTAACTTATTAAATTCAGTTAGTGGGGCACACCAAATAATACTGTTTTGGTATACTATGGTTTGGTATACTTCAGTGTGATATGCACTGTAGCAGGGCACTCCATATAATACTGTTTTGGTATACTATGGTTTGGTATACTTCAGTGTGATATGCACTGTAGCAGGGCACTCCATATAATACTGTTTTGGTATACTATGGTTTGGTATACTTCAGTGTGATATGCACTGTAGCAGGGCACTCCATATAATACTGTTTTGGTATACTATGGTTTGGTATACTTCAGTGTGATATGCACTGTACTGGCGGTGAAGAAAGGAACAGCTCAGCAGCCACCACATCCTTTAAAAGAGAGGATCTTGTGGATAAACAGGATAAAAAGACATTGGTGGTGTGGCAGAACTTTTTGCAGTTTAAAGTTCAACATGTTTATTAAACATATGGATATGTTGAATTTATACAAATTAGTTACTTTTCAGCGTCATAAAATGCTTCAATATTTTAGCCGTACTATTTATCTGCTTGCCAAATTATGGGTGTAAATAAATGTCTCTATGTTACCGAAACGCTGGCGTCCAGCCAAATGTTTTGCCTGTAGTCTGAAGCCCTGGTTGTTATTGCGCATTAGTGATATAATATTGATATGATATATCGCCCAGTCCTACTAGAAAAGTGTATTTTGAGCTGAATATAGTCAAGATACAAAGTGGTCCTGATGGCTAACTTGTGTTATCTTTGGTGAAATCACCACTGGTCCTTGTGGATTGCAGATCTATGATTACTTTAAAATCCAGTGGTGTTTCAGCTCACTAGGAGGTGCAGTAATCATTGTTTATAGCTCAAATGTCTTCTGCCATTTTTACAGGGTGGCTGCAACTAAAAGTCCCATCATCTTCATCGGTACTGGCGAGCACATCGATGACTTTGAACCTTTCAAGACGCAGCCATTCATCAGCAAGTTGCTGGGTAAGAGCAGGACAGTATTGTGTCAGGACTCCTTATTCCTCAGATTCCACATTCAGGAAACTGCAGCTACATGTCGGCGATGGGGTCACTGTCTGTGCTGGGCAATGCAGAGCACAGTGGCACTGTGAGCGCCAGCCATCAGAAGCTGCTTTCTGTTTAATGCTGTGTCTCATACAGGTATGGGAGACATAGAGGGTTTGATAGACAAGGTGAATGAGCTGAAGTTGGATGACAATGAGGAGCTGATTGACAAGCTGAAACATGGTGAGAACCACTCTTTTGGTAGCTCTTATCCAGTCAGAAATTGAAATTGAGAAAGTATTCTTCAAAATACAAGTCCTGAATAATGAAACACACTAACAATGTATAATTTGTTGGAGATTAAATGCAGGTGTAAATATTAATCTGTAATACCCATATTACAGCACTGATAATTGGCATGTATGTTATCACTTGATTAATTGAGATGTGTTGATTTCTAATGGAGTAAGTCTCTCTTCTGTCTCCAGGTCAGTTCACGTTGAGAGACATGTATGAACAATTTCAGAACATCATGAAAATGGGGCCTTTTAGCCAGATTATGGTAAGTGTTTTTAATTTTGAAATTTGGGGGTGCACCGTGCTGCCTTATTTGTGCTGGTGAATTTGCAGATATTAACCATTAATAATAATCTGTTACTGCTTGAAGTGGGCATTGGTGGAGCTTTGCTGAAAATGCTTAATACAGTACATTTTAATGCAAGTGTTTTTCAGAACAATGAAAGAATTTAAAGTGAACAGTCGGGTGGTTTAGATGCCAGTAACTGCTCTTGGTCTGTATTGTCTGATTGGTATTGATGCTGTCGTGGAACGTGGTGCAGTGGAATGTTGTGGGGCAGAGGTCAGATAGCAAGAGAGAGCATAAGCATAGGAGAGCAGAGTCCAAATGACGTTATTGTTCAAGGTGCACCGGAAACCCTCTCCACCATCTGTTTAGTGTAAAAGGTACAAACTATATTTGGTAATGTGCAGCTGTAGTGCATGTAAATGTAGTTTGAAAAGAATGTTCTGTAATGAACATGCAAGTTGAGCAGGTACACATGTGGCTCAGTGTTCACAGGTAGTGATTTTATATAGTACAAAAAAAAATACTGATGGACACATGTAGAAATGAATTTATAGATTTGAATCCATTCTCTTTTGGCCCTAGATTGGTGTTGTGTTTCAAACATAAACTGGACTGTTACATTGATCAGTGTATAAGTCTGACAGGCTATAGGCTTTATCATACGGAATGTGATGTACAGTAGGAATTGGAGTGGATTGGTCATTGTGGCCTGTGATGCATTACTATGTGGCCAGGGAATTTCATCTCGAGAGGGATACCTTTTTAATGATTCCTCGGCATTGTGTGTTAAGGGAATGATCCCCGGTTTTGGTACTGACTTCATGAGCAAAGGCAATGAGCAGGAATCCATGGCCAGGCTGAAGAAGCTCATGACAATCATGGACAGCATGAATGACCAAGGTAAGCGAGCACCCCCGACACTGCGGAGGGAAATGCTAGTCTCTCCTGGAAAAGGCAACCACCTAAAGTTACTGTCAAAATATCTCAACAGTTTACCCTTAGTCAACATCAACCTGAAGCAGTTCTAAAATTTAACTAGTGATCTTCATGACCAAAGAGCATGCACATACATTACCTGTTGATACTACACAATAGTAAACATTGTCTGTTTCTATTTAATTTAAGCACACTGATATTCAAGTGTAGTGACATTGCAGCATTCAACTCTGTATGAAACTTGTCTTTCTGTTTGTTTGGACTTTTGGTCTTGGCTTACTAATATTCTGGGTTTCTGCAGAACTGGACAACAAAGATGGTGCCAAACTGTTCAGCAAGCAGCCCAGCCGGGTGCAGCGAGTGGCCCGGGGGTCCGGTGTGGCCACGCGTGACGTGCAGGAGCTGCTGACACAGTACACCAAGTTCGCCCAAATGGTGAAGAAGATGGGTGGCATTAAGGGACTCTTCAAAGGTACTCCCTCATGGGGGGCTGCGGGCAGCATGGCATCCCTACCCTGTAATATGCTAGTGAATAATCTATTTATAACGTGGACAACTGTTACTCCATCGCAACAATGTTCACATTTTAACATTTATCTGACACTTGAGTGACCTACGGTCGTTACGCATGTGAGATGACAATGCAGACTGTTTGCTTTTGATAAGCTTTGCTCATAGCCAAGCCTGGCAGCTGTATATTACATGGATAGATCTGTTGCATGCATTCCTAATACCCTGATGAGCTGTTCTTTAAGCATTTCAGGTATTCATATACAACACCTCATAAGAAATGGTGCTGGTAAAATTTACTCGTAAGTCCAGTGGCTCGCAGCTGTAGGTGTGAATTAGAGCTGTTCCATATGACAGTATCGATAATCGAACTGGGAGCCGTAACCTGGTGTCTGTCTGTGACTAACCTGCGATTTAGTGCCTTTGTGGGAGAAGTAGGCTTAGGTTACACGTAAATCTTTTTTTATTTTCTTCTTTAAATTCCGCATACGGTACACGAAGGTATCAGTGTCTGTAAATGTCGGTTGTAATGGTGGTTCATGGCAAGGTCTTACCGTAAGTTTTGTGAATCATTGCTTTTAGATGTTTTTTGACACATGTATTTAAATCATAATGAAACTTGACCCAGTGGTCAGTTTTTTGATCACAGACTTGAAAACGAAAATGAAAATTAGCTCCCACCTCCCCCTGTTTAGCAGATCATACTCTATATAATATATAATTTTGTTTTTCTTTCTTTTTATTTCATGGTTTCATGGTTTTCTTTTGGATAATGAAATTTAATGGTCCTGCTTGTGTGTGTGTTTGGGAGTGGGGTGCCAAATGACTATACATGATTACCATTTATCCACATATGTGATATGTAAAAAAAAATTGTAAGTATTGGCCAGCCCTAATTTGCAGTTTGTAGATTAGCTTTGCATCTTGTCTGTTTGGCGCCACATGTTCTTGCTGCCGTATGCACCAGAATTTCTGCCTGGGATCAATAAAGTTAATCTTTCTTTGCAGGAGGAGACATGTCCAAGAATGTCAACCCATCTCAGATGGCGAAGCTGAATCATCAGATGGCCAAGATGATGGACCCCAGGGTTCTACACCACATGGGTATGAATGTCATGCTAATCTAGAATCGACCTGCCAATAGCCGTTTTTGTGGAAAAGCATATTGATGGAATTCATTTTTTGTTAACCTGGTGCAATTTCGATGTAGGTTTTAATAAAGGAACTCTTATTACTTCTTATAGGTGGTATGGCTGGCCTGCAGTCCATGATGAGGCAGTTTCAACAGGGGGCAGCTGGCAATATGAAAGGAATGATGGGATTCAACAACATGTGAACATCAACCTTAAATTTCACTTTAAATAAAATGTAGTGAGCAGCAAATCAGTTGGTACCCATTTTTAAAAGATTGTTACCCCATCTTTGTGAATATATGCGCAAAGTAACCCATTACCTTGCTAATTACCTGCGATTACTATAGTAATTGACAGAGGCATTCATGAATGGGGTTTGAAGATGGTTGACCATGTTTTAAAAATGATCTCCCTTTGGCACAATTACTGGACAGTATAGACAGTGTAAAGCTATCTAGTATCTAATGTGTGACAAGATTTTGTCATGACTTGTATAATAAAATTTGTATGGCAAATTTTAAAGTTTACTTTTTCTCTCACGCCCTTTGGTGTGTTATGAGCAGGGTCATTATTTAGGTGTTGACAGTTGTTGCACGGTGTGTTTGACAGGAACAGAATGCTTGGATGGTCGTTAATGTTGTAATAAATATGATTAATCATAAAGCATCTTGAGAATTAAATGCGGTTTTTAACCTCGATGCACTAATGGAAGCATACCGATCATTTTAATCCCCAAATGTGACTTCGAAGTAGTTTTATAGTTTCATGTTTGATATTACAGGAATAACAAAAAAGCAGGGGAAGAGGGTCAAAATTGCAATTTAAGCTATATTGTCATATAGACACTTCTTTATGCCATGTACTTATATCGTTATGAAAGATTTTTTTAAAACGTCTACATTAAACACTTTGTGATCAAATATTCTTAAAGCCCCCAATTTTCTTGGACAGAGCTGACTAATGACATCTTTTGGAATTTCCAGAGGGATTTGAGAAATAATGCGTCAAATTATTACTTCAAGAATTAAACAAGTACACCCAAGTGATTTGCCTGATTACTATAACAGCAGACATTTAAGGCCATAGCTTTCCTGTACAAAGGCCAGGTAAGAGGTAAGCACAAACTATATAAATTTATGCAATTGAGAAGTAGCACAAGATTTTGTCATTTCTTTCATACAGGTATATGACAGAAGCAAAATAACATTCGCCTGTAGCAAGTTGTCGAATGTCATTAAATTTAGACAAAATAACACACACACGCAAACCCCCACCTATGCATTTAACAGTCGCTTAAAATGTGTTTATTTTATGTATTGAAATTAAAGTATTACTTTATTCTTGCTATTAGCTTTTATTTTATGATTATGATTTATTGTTGCGCGCGTGCCCCTCTTCGCGCAGCGCGCGTCCGTGTCACCCTCCGGACCTCCTGACGTGGCAACGCTCCTCAGCAGCCATGTTGGCGGCTACGTCAGCGGGCCGCTTCCCAGAGCTCAGAGCCGCCGCTGCCACGGACACGCCGCTATCTGCCCTCGGAAAGGTGGGTGAGCTCCGTCTTAAAATGGACGTGATTAATATTAAACTCTGGGCATTGTATTAAACAGCGGGCAGCGGGGGCCGGGTCCAATATTAAAAGCTGGGCGAGCTGGCTTTGCGTACTGCGTCTCAGGTTTGTTTTGACATTAGCGAAATGCCCACCCCGGTCAACAGGCAGTCCGTGATCTTTTATTATTAGTCAGCCCAGACCGTAGCAGGTTTGTGAGTCTGTTATTTGCGTTTCGTTTTTAATTAGGATACCCGTATTTCATGTCTAAACATAAATAGCCAGGCAGCTTCTATTTATTGCGACCTCATACTGGCTACGTAAATAAATTGCATACCCCTTATAGCGTGCGAGTAGCGGTGTTTAAAGAAATGAAATAGTTTATGAAAGCGGTTATTTGATACGATGATGATTTAAGGAAAATAATCTCAGCCCTGGAGTGGAGCTGTTTGCCAAAGCTCTTATTTGTTTTCACCTCTCTGTGTCTGCATAGATTCATTTGAATTTAATTAATTTAATCTTTTTTTTAATGACTGCTTCCGTAAAATTAATGCTGCAATTGGGTGTTCATTAGTTCCTTAATTTGTTGCATTTCTTTCAAATGTTTAAGGTAATATGATTAATACAATTAAGTCTGCAGTAACTGCAGCACTAGAAATGAAAATTCTCAGGTCTTTTGAACAGTCAAGTACTTTTGATTACCAGTGATTATTGAAGTACATACTTCTGCTGTGTATATGGATATATAGTATATGAGTGTGTGTATGTATGTATGTATGTATATTTTTCTTATATATATATATATATATATATATATATATATATATATATATATATATATATACATACATACATACACACTATTTAAGTAGTATGTATTTCAAAAATGAAAACATTTTCTTTATGTTGTACGTCACGCTACATAAGGGCATGCCAATCGATTTCAAAACGTTCTTATCAGTTTTAATTCCTCTGTGTGCTGCCTGGTTTAAAGTCTAAAAGGCTGCCCGGGTTGTATAGTTATGTCAGAAATCATGCGTTTGTTGAAATTGATAATAGTTACAGAAGTATGTCTTTGCTCACCGCTTTGGAAGCCGATTGGGTGATATAACAAGCTGTCGTGGTCTGTCAGTGCTCATTGTGTATCCCCTTTAAAATTAATGCTCGTATTGATCAGCTCAGGCCTGGTGAAAACTATCACACACCATTTTTTTAAACTACCAAGTCTGAAGCTGTGGGGATGAGAATCTGCACCTCTGTATCTGAGGCCATGTCTCTCTCTCAGGAAAGAATGGATTGCCCGTTTCAAATGAGGGACAGTCTGTCCTTATTTAAGGAGTTACTCTGACATATGGTTCATGTGCAGTGGTAATAGTTTGGTGCCTGCAGCTCTGAGGGCACACTGGAGGTCTGTGCTAGTGAAATAGGCGATAAGCCATAAGACTCAGGGTTTCCCAGTGAGTCTGCAACCCTACCCTTACCTGTGAGGTGTGCTGAGGGTTGTTGGCCTCACTCTGCGAGAACGTGAGGAGTTTGGAGATCCAGAGGTACCTCAAAATAGAGCGGCGGCTCCTGCAAATCGAGATTAGTCAGCTGTGGTGGTTTGGGATGTGTCCCAAGAAAGGTGTTCCAGGCATATCCCACTGGGCAGAAACCCAGGGCAGATCTAGGAGGTGCTGGAGGGATCATATCTCACAGATGGCTTAGGAATGACTATGGAAACTATAGTCTGTAGCGATGGAAAAAGAGGGTGCTCCGACATGTTCGGCATGTTGTCATCGCAACTTGGACCATGTGAAGTGGAGGGAAGTCATAGGATAATAGCTGAGGACATTGATGCAGCAGGCAAGGGTCTCTCACTTGGTTGGATCCACATCCCGACTGAGGGGTGGGAGAGGAACCCAAGCACAGACGCCACCCAGTGAAACAGGGCCATAACTCTACCTCCACATGTCATCTTTTTCAGACTTTGCCTGTTGCAGTGCAAGATGGCAACTTTCCAGGAGTTCATCCAGCAGAACGAGGACCGGGATGGTGTGCGCTTCAGCTGGAACGTGTGGCCCTCCAGCCGCCTGGAGGCCACCCGCATGGTGGTCCCCGTGGCTGCTCTCTTTACGCCGCTGAAGGAGCGGCCCGATCTGCCCCCCATTCAGTACGAGCCGGTGCTGTGCAGCCGCGCCACCTGCCGGGCCGTGCTCAATCCTTTGTGGTGAGCACCAGACTTTCTGCCCAGATACTACCAGGAGCTTAATGTTACTGGTGGGCTGAATATGGGATGATGTCTTATTTGGTTTGGTCTTACATTTGAGTCGTACTTTTAGTGCAAATAAATCCTGTTATTTTACAAATAATTAGATGCTTTAAACCAGGGGTCTCTAACTCCGGTCCTGGAGAGCTACTATCCAGTAGGTTTTCTGTCCCACTTGGCTTCTGATGAGCCACACTTGTTCCTGGTATTTACCTGAGAACAGGTGTGGCTCATCAGAAGCCGGGTAGGATAGAAAACCTACTGGACGGTAGCTCTCCAGGACCGGAGTTGGAGACCCATGCTTTAAACCCTATGGTCTTAATCTTCCCAACCTCTTACATAGTGCTTATGTAGTTTGGGGTCATGGTGAGCGTGGTATATATGCAAGGAAGCATCGGACATAATGGACAGGATGCCAGTTACGCCTCATCTTTTTAGATTGTCGGTCGAAACCTATAAAGCATGGCGAGAACGTGGCAGTCACAGACACATACACACACACACAGACAGCAGGGGTTGATTTGTAACCCATCTCTGGATTTAAAGAGTATATTTTAATATACTCTTAAGTGTGTTGTATACATTTATTTCATTTGTGCTAATTTTTTCACTTTTTTCTTAACTAGCCAAGTGGATTACAGGGCAAAACTCTGGGCCTGCAATTTCTGCTATCAGAGAAATCAGGTGAATCACACACAATGTGCTTATTTGATACCTGATGCAATAACTTGATAAACTCAACATTTTTATTGTCTCTTTGATTGTTGAGCTTCTCAGTGTAATATTAATTTGTGTTCCCCGTAGTTCCCTCCTACATATGCTGGGATATCTGAGATGAATCAGCCGGCTGAGCTCCTTCCTCAATTCTCTACTATTGAATATGTGGTGCAGGTATCTAATTAAAGCACATTTTGCTAAGTGTTTTAAAGAGTGTACGCAAATAATTTTCTGATATGTGTCTCCAGAAGACTTACTCACAATTTCCCATTACTTGTTAGATGATCATTCTTACTCCTGTTCATCATTACAGATAAAGACTCATTGTCTGTCTAAGCTGTCAACAGTCTATCCGAGACAGTAAATCATAGACATATGTACAGTGGTACCTCAGAATTGGAACTTAATCCATTCAGAACTCTGCTTCGAATCCTAAAATGTTCGAGTTCTGATCGAATTTTCCCCATAAGAAATAATGGAAAACCAATTAATTGGTTCCCAACCCCGTAAAAAATTACATCTAAATATGTTTTTTTTTTTTTTTTAGAATTTAAACACAAAATGAACAGGATAAAACAAGAAGAGCATATACTGTACTAAACACATCTAAGCACATTTATCAAAACAGTAATTTGTAAAGTAAGAAAATGTATCCAAACAATGTGCAATGGCTACCAAAATGATATAGAGTACAGTGTATTACCTGATATTTTCATAAAAAAAGCATTCACCAACAAACGATGCTATCACAGTGAATGCGAGGCTGAGACCGAAGATTACCCTTTGTTTCTGCTGAGAGACGTGCCGCGTGACTCATTTCCCAGCACGTACAAGTTATCTTAGTTCGGCGTTCACGGTTCGACTTCTGAGATTCAGATAGAGTTCTAGGTCATTTTTTTTTTTCGAACTGGTTTGTTCGACTTTTAAGAAATTTGAGTTCTAATGAGTTTAAGTACTGAGGTACCACTATATAAAAAAATCACTCAGCCCAGTATCCGTTGAATGTTTATTATTCTAATTGTTCAATTAGCTTAGATCAGCTATGATGTCTAAATGTTCCAATAAGCCGTAGATGTTAATTTTCTGGTAAATTCTGTACTGCACAGTTATAGAGGTAACTGTGCTGGCTGATCCATTCACTGGGAGTGACTGGTCACTCTTTCCTTCTGTCCATCCTTCCTTGCACAGAGGGGTCCCCAGATGCCCCTGATTTTCCTCTATGTGGTTGACACCTGCATGGAAGATGAGGACCTGCAGGCCCTGAAGGAGTCCCTGCAGATGTCCCTCAGCCTGCTGCCCCCCACTGCCCTGGTGGGCCTCATCACCTTTGGCCGTATGATCCAGGTCCACGAGCTGGGCTGTGAGGGCATCTCCAAGAGCTATGTCTTCAGGGGAACCAAAGACCTCAGTGCTAAGCAGCTACAGGTAAACTCGCTTTGTCATCATCTCAGATCATTTAGTAGCTGGCCTCGTCATTTTTTCCACTTAAATTAAAAATGTTGTGCCTTGTTGCTGTCATTGGAGAATACAGTGGTACCTCGGTTCTCGAACTCACTAAAACTCGAATTTCTTGAAAGTCGAACAAACCAGTTTGACCTAGAACTCGATCTGAATATCAGAAGTCGAACCGTGAATGCTGACCTAATATAAATTGTACGCGCCAGGAAATGAGTCATACTACAATGCAATTCTTACTTGAATGCCTTCA